AAAAAAAAAGTTCTGCTCATGGTTTCTTATCATTTTCGCTGTGTGGTCAGTGTTCTTTTCAAGATGATTTATTTTATCTTTGTTGTCTGATATCATATCTTCTAAGTGGTCTACTCTGTTGGTGATGATCTCATTTGAATTTTTAATTTGGTTTTTTATTTCTTTCATTTCAATGATTTCTAGGTTTTTTGTTTGTTTGTTTGTTTGTTTAAGAACCTCTATCTCCCTTTTGAGGTGATCTTTTGCTTCTTGGATTTGTGTATGTAGCTCATTGTCGAAGTGATCTTTCACTGCCTATATTTGTTGTTTTATGTCTTCTTTGCAATCCCAAAACATTTTAACCATGTATGTCCTGAAATCTTTTTCTGTCATTTTTTCTTCTGTAGCTGCCAATGCTGCCAATGATATGTTGTCTTGATTTGTTTGTGGTACTTTCTTCCATTGTCTTTTCATGTTGCTCATGTGTCTTCCTTTCTAGCTCTGTGGATCTGGTGTGTTATTGTTTTTATCCTATAGATTTGTATGGCTCTTGTAGGGTTCCAAGATCCCTCCTTTATGGGGAAGGACATTGTTAACAGGTCCCCATAACAACAATATATCACCTATGAACAAATTGTTGTTAAGACATTTACAGTTTAGTCTCATGTCCAGAAATGTTGGATTCGATTATTATTTAAAATATAATCAGTAGTTTCATTAAAAGATTTACATTCTGGCAGTGGACAATGAACTGGGTATCAGGCATAGGACAATATGTTGAGGGGAAAAGATGTGAGGGTATAGAGATACTACATCTTAGGGAATGTGGAGGAGAAATTTAATGAAGATGGTTAGTAGCAGGGGAATAGACAGGGAGTAATTTAGGGTAGACAAGTATGTGGGTAGATAGTAGAGTATATAAAACAAACACACCTGTATTTAGAAAAATATAGGATTAAAATTAGTAAAATTTGGAGGGTGAAAGAAGAGGAAAGAGAAAAAATGGGAAAGAATGAAAGAAAGAAAAAAGGCTCTATATTATATTATTCAGGTGACTCAATCCTCAAAGTCCTATTTTATGCAAAGTTCTTGTTTATACATATATCGGGGATATGAGGGCCAGAGGATAGAAGGGTAGAAGAGAAAGAAGAAAAAGTAGAAGGAAGAGGAAAAAAAATACTCTTAGAGATCCTTTTCTTTTCTGCTTCTCTTCTCATCCAGTAGGTGGAGTTGTCTGTTTTAAGCTGGTGTCTCTGCCCTCAGGATGGTGTAGGTAACCAGGGTGAAAAGACTGGACCTGGTGTGTAGCGTCTGGAAGTGGGGAGTGCCGCCCACCAGTTCCAGCAGGGAAATAGCTCCTCATGCATCTTTTTTTGTGACCACTCATCTGACTTGAGCCCCCTGTATGGTCTCCCTCTCTTGCCTGGAGATTTCACAGATCCTGGTCTTTTTGTTATGCTCCAGACTTTAGCTCCTCCTATCTCTTTCTTATCAGGTCCCATCTGCAGGACCTCTCACCTCAGGCTCACACCAGGTGGGCAGCACCCTGTTCAAACTGCACTCCTGTCCAACCAAGAGCTGTTTTTGTGTTGGGTGGCCACGTGCCCAGTTATCACCGCTGGGGAGGGGCAGGGAATTGGAAATCAGGTACTTGCTCAAATTGTGATCCCATCTGATAGCCATGCCCACCAAAAATGGTGAGGAAGGTTTTCCAAGATGGAGTTGGTCTGCTTCCAGCGTGTCTGATGATGTGGGGACAGCTGGGGGATGGTCTTGTGCTGTGGATTAGTAGCAGCTGACTGACCTGCGTGGGAGCAGAGAGCAGTCTGGAGTTGTGCAGAGGTGCTGATAGGTGATTTTGCTAAGCCATTTGTAAGTCTTGCATGAACTAGAACTGTGGTTTGGGTCTGGAGTCCAGAAATTTACCCAAGCACAGAGGCAATGATTTCTGCATGTGTGGCTACAGCACTTGTGATTTCTGTGAAAATCTGCTGTATAGGGGACTTCTCACACTCTCTGAGATGTTGTATTCTGTCTAGGCAAGACTTTATGGATAAGCTGTCTGCTTTCTTGGTTTCCTGCCACAGAGCAGCCAGAAAGAGGACTACCTCTATTCCGCCCACCATCTTGCATCCACCCTCCATTTCTTAGTTATCTGTTTCTCTATTGTTAATATAGTTAGTTATATACATATGTATATATTTAGACCAGTTGAAACAATATGAGCGTATGACCTTGACCTAAATTATTTCTATTCCTAAGACTGGCTGATAAGACAGTTATAGAAACTGCTTGGATTTTAATGATCACAGAAACACCGGACCTCTGAGAGGCAGCAGTATTTATTTGCTTTGGACCCATTCTTCTTTGTTTCTTCCCATTTTGAATGTCCTTAGTTAATTTTTGCCAAGTGAGAGACTCCATATAAATATCAAAGTGCTTTATGAATAAGAACATGCTGTCTGTGGAGTTTCAAGGCAATTTATTGGGCACTTATGGGATCAAGTAGGATGAATTATCTAAGTATTATTGGGGAATAGGACTTTGTATTCCTTGAAGAGAGGCAAACATTAAAGTCTTCTTAGTCATAAAGTTCATTTTTCCTTGGGTTCTGTGGATTAACAGTGGTTTATATTTAAAATAGATAATTGTTGAATCAATACCTCTCTTTAGAGATACCATTTTAATTCTTATCCTTAAGTGAAAACCATGATTAATTTTTACTAATGATTTAGAGAGCCACAACACATGTTTTCTACTGTATACTGTGGGAAGAGATTGGCAGAAACTGACAAAGGTGAAAGAAACAAGTATTCTGCTGATGAAATAAGAGAGATTTCCTAAGCCAGACTCCAAAAATCAAAGGTCGAATGTTTTCTCTGATATATGGAAGGTAGTCTAAAAGATCAGGGGAGGTAGAAGAAGGGAACTGAGAAGGAGGAACGACAGGATAATGGAAAAATCAGTGGAATGTTTGAACCTAACTTACCAGTATACATTATATGAATATATTACAGTGAATCATGTATGCCCAGAAGACACTAATTTTTTTAATAATATAAAATAGATCTTCAGTAGACTAGAGAAAAGGAAACAGGGAGGGTAAGTAAAATACTGGAGATTTAACTCCATGCATTTATAATTATCTCAAAATAAATCCTAATGTAATGTATAACTTATGAACCAATAAAAATTTAAAAAGAGATTTCCTAAGACAAAGATTTTTTCTACCCTATTAGCACTCAAATTTTTAATAATTCCTGAAAATCTAATAGCTACAGCCAAAAGGGTGTTTGCTATCCACAGATAGCAAATAAAATATCAAGAAAAAATTAAATAACATTTATAAATTTAAAAATGTGGATAAGAGCTGGGGATGTGACTCAGTGATCTAGTGCCCCTGAGTTCAATCCTGGTATCAAAAACAAAACAAAACAAAAAAATTTAGATACATATTTGTTGATTCAGGGATAGGCTCAGTAATGTTAATTGTTCTTTTATATAAGAGAACTAAGAGGAAGAAAATATGGCAAATTACAGAATTTGCATATTTGTAAGTATATGTTATTTTTATCTCATAAGATAATTTTTAAAGAGAAATATGTATAGTTATCCTTATGAGTTAGTTTTAAAATATAATGGAGTTGAATTCCAATTATTCAACTTTTCTAATGAAGTTCATTATTCATTATGAAGTTCATTATTTTTCTTTGTTCTTTCTAGGCAAAAGTTAAACAGCTAGAAGAACAACTGCAGTGTTTTACTGAAACCAGTTTACAGAATGAACATCTACGCAAGCTGAATAAGGCTCTAGAGGCCAAATATGCTCACGTATGTTTAATAACTTCAAAAGCTGATTGCTGTTCTGTTGTTTTAGTTTTTAAGAAATTGTTTGTTGCCCTTTTCCCTACTTTACCATACAGTTCCAGAAGGATGAATATCCTCTCTTGATTCAACAAACATTTTTAAGCACTACTGTGTACAAGATTCTACTAGGCCATAGAGGAATTCATATTATAAAGGTGTCTGAAGCAGAATCAAGACATTCAACTTGCTTCTAAAGATGTTTAGGAATGTACTTAATAAACCTTATTATAGAATAGAAAGTTATGCCTTTCTTAAAAAATATAGATTATATTAATGAGCATGCATAGGAAACATTAATATGATTGGAAGCATTGGTAAATGCTTTCATAAAGGAAGTGGTTTTTTAATGTGAGCCTAAAAAATCTTAGCAGATGGGAGGAACAAGTATCTGGTTTTTGAGTGATAGGCAAACTCAGAACTCAGTGCCAACAAGGTATACCTGCAACAGTCAGAAGCTCACCTGAAAGAAGAATTAATAGTGAAGATGTTTTCTTATCAGCAAGATGACTGTTGAGGCTGAAACCTTTGTAGGTCACATAACATTTCAACAAATTAATAGAGAAAAGATAAACAAGCAAAATACATAAAACATTTAGTGAAGAACTTAACCCAGGAATGTGTTACCAAAAGAAAGTGGTTCTTTTAATGATTACAGGTTATTTAAAAAATCTTCAACTCTAGGTGTAAGCATGTATGATTTCTGTATCTACAATATTTGTGTGTATGGACCCCCTGTAACCAAGGTACTAGAATATATCTTCCAGTGGAATACTCATGGAGTTCTAGCTACTTGCTCTACTGATGAGTGATGAGGTCACAAAGTTGTAAGAGTGACCTCATTAGATACGCTCTCCTACAGGAAATTTGGTTTAAGGCCTATTTCTTTACTAGGTCATACTTTACAGTGTGATCTCTTCATTCTGAAAGCAAAGGAACACATTTCCAAACATTTTTTTTTATTGTGGCTGCTGCTTTTTATTGCTGTTTCTCTGAGAGAAACAATTCCTTGAAAAATTGCGCTAAATTTAGTTAATTTTTTATTTTGTTTATAAATGGTGATGCCACCAAGAAGAAGGAAATCTCCAGAGAGGCCAGCATCTTCAAAATCCCTTGAAAGCTCTAGGCCTTATGTAAATAATGTAAAGGAGAGAACTTCAACACTTGGTTTGCCCAGTGTTGTTTCAAACTCCACACGCCGTGTGAGTTTTGCACCTACACTGCCTTCTGTGAGAACATCTCAGGAGATTGGAGACTCCAGAATCTCTCTAAAGACACTTTTGAATGCTATTAAAACTATGGAGGGAAGATTAGAAGGCAAAATAGACATTCTTGCCTCAAGACCCTTACTAAATGATGAATCACCAAATTGTTTTAAACAGGATTTGGTAAGTGAAGAACACAAATAAAATCTTAGGGAAACTTCAGATTTATATAATAATCAAGAAAGCAGTAACAATCTAGGAAGATAATACTTAAAGATATGCATAACAACAAATAAATTGGTTCTTAACAAATAATAAAAACTGATGTAAATTTTGAAACCATTCTTGGCCATCAGCTAATTTTCATTTGGGCATAGAAAATTTGGCTTGAGTTACAATTGAGTTTTTATAAATCTAATTGAGTTTTTAAAAATTCAAAGTTTCTAACTAATTTCAACATTTGAGCTAAAATGCTTGAATAAGTCATGATTTAAAAATAGAAATAGGGGCTGGGGTTGTGGCTCAGCGATAGAGTGCTCATCTCACACATGCAGGACCCTGGGTTCGATCCTTAGCACCATGTAAAAAATAAATGAGTGAAATAAAGGTATTTTGTCCAACTATAAAATAAATATTAAAAAATAGAAATACATTAATCCAAGAATCCCCATGAAATTGAACATTGGGAAATACTTTCCAGAGAGAACTTATTAGAGCATCCATCTTTGCTGGAAGTTTAAAAATAAAAAGTACTATAGATGATCTTATGAAGTAGACTACTATTTAGATACTTTGTGTAAACAGTTTCATTAGCAATATTGTTTGTGTGTGTGTGTGTAAATATATCTTGTAAACACTGGTAAAATTTTAAAAATTAAAACGTATTATTTTTTAGAAAAAAAAATCAATAGATCTTTAGAACCAATGAATTGGCTTCTTTACACTATTCTGGAACCCTTACAGAAAAAGTTAAAGTATTTTAAATGTTGCAGGTTAAATTTTAAGGAAATATAAACATGTTGAGAAAAGTGTGGGGAAAAGACATTCTTGGTTGCTGTTGGGAGCATAAATGGTACAAATTCCTATGGAATACAACTTGGTAATAATTATGACAAAATTAGATCTCACAATTTAACTTCTAGGATTTTTCCTTACATATTTAGTAGCTTATACACATGACTTGTTTAAAGATTACTTACTGAAGAGTTGATGAATAGCAAAAGGCTGCAAGTAACCAGAATCCAATCAATGAGACTGGCTAGATAAATCACATGTATCTTAGCTTGTAATCTACTTCAAGATATGTGTATTTTTAGGTTAAAACAAGGTTCAGAAATAAATAGATAGTATTTTACTGTTTGCATGCAAAAAGGGCAGGGAAATAAACAATATATACATGCATATTTATTTGTATATGCATTGTGTTTATAATAAGCTGGCAAAATTTTTGAGGAAGGAAACTGACAGAGATTTTTTTACATTTTTTGTACATTAAAAAAATAAGGTGAATGTGCTATGTGTTCAAATAGTTAACTTATGGATATATTATATTTCATTTTCAATAAAACTGAAAGCTAAGGAAGAATGGTCTTTTCAACAAATTGTGCTAGAATAATTGGATATCCATGTGTAAAAATGAAAACTATTTTATCCATACTTCACACCATATATAAAAATTAATTGAAAATGGATCATAGATCTAAATGTAAACTCTAAAACTATAAAGCTAGAAGAAAACGTAAAAAGTCATCTTTGTGATCTTGGGTTACACAAAAATTTCTTAAATTTAACATCAGAAGTGTGATCCAGAAGGGTTGGTTCTATGGTAGAGCACTTGCCTAGCATGCATGAGGCTCTAGGTTTGATTCCCAGTACCAGGGGAATCAGGGAACAAAAGTTATAATCAATAAAGGGACAAAAGTGGTAAATTGTACTTTATTAGAATTGACATGTGCATTCTTCGAAGGCATTAAGAGAAATAAAGAAATGATCAACAGACTGGAAGAAAATATTTACAAACCACTTTTGTGATTAATGTCTTTTCTCTAGAATGGGTTTTTTAAAAATCTCAAAATTCATTAGGGAAACAACCCAGTAACAAGAATGGGTAAAATATCGAACAGATATTTCAAAAAAAGATACATGAATGATAGATAAGCACTTGAAAGTTATTAAACATCCACCATTAGGGAAATTCAGTGAGATATTACCATATATCTATAAGAAGGTCTAAAATTTTTCATACCAAGTGATTATACCAAGTGTTAGGATGTAGAGCATCTAACTCTGATACATTGCTGATGGGAATGTAATATCACAACCACTTTGGAAAGTAGTTTGCTACTTTTTAAAAAACGCAAGGCATGCTACCACTATGTGAATCTAAGTTGGTTCACTCCTAAGTATTTCCCATTAAAAAATGAAAGAATATGTCTATACAAAGACTTGTATCCAAGTGTTCTCAGCAGCTCTATTTGTAATAGCTTAGATCTGGAAACAACTCAAGAATCCAAGAGGTAAATAGTTAAGTAAATTGAGATATATCCAGATAGAATACTAAGCAACAGAAAGGAATGAACTATTGATGCGTGCAATAAATTGAATAAATATCAAAATAATTATGGAAGAGTACATAACAATGATTCCATTTATATAAAATTCTAGGAATGCAAACTATTGTGACTGAAAACAGATCAGAGCTTGCCTTGGGTTGGGTTGAGAAAACAGGGAGAAATAAAGGGGGAGATTACAAAAGGACATAAAGAAACTTTTGGAGTAATGAAAATGTTCACTATTTTGATTATGATTTCAAGGGTTTATACATGTCAAAACTTCTCAGATTGTACACTTTATATATATGGAGCTTATTGTGTCAATTATACCTCAGTAACAGTTTTAAAAGAATATGAATGTGTTACCTGTTCAAATATTTATTATATCAAAGTGTTTAATATTCTTGACAGAACTGTAGAGATGGAGAATGAATTAATGTTTACTTGGGAATGGATGGGTTTGGAGGGGCAGTGAATGCAAAGAGGTAGTAGAAAGGAAGAAGTTATGATGGAAGTGTTCTCATCATGATTATGGTGGTAGTCACATAAGCATGTGTATGGAACAGTCCAATATGTGGTGCACATGCACCTCTGGGACACACACAGGTGCATGAAAAGTTAAAAAATGGTGAAAACTGATTGAATTCTGTAATCTAGTTAGTAATAATAATAATAATAATAATAAGAAGAAGAAGAAGAAGAAGAAGAAGAAGAAGAAGAAGCCAATTTTGCTATTGAACTACAAAAAACTTTTTATACTATTTTTCAAATATTCTGTAACCCTGTAATTTGAGATTAAAAAGGTTTTTGTTTTTGTTTTTTCTTTTGGCATCAGGGATTGACTGACTCCTGGAGAGCTCAACCATTGAGCCATGTCCCCAGCTCCTTTTTTATATTTTATTTTGAGACAGTCTTGCTAAGTTGTTTAAGGCCTTGCAAAGTTGCTAAGGCTGGCTTTGACCTCATGATCCTCCTAACTCAGCCTCCCAAGCTGCTGGGATTATTGTGCCACTGTGCCTGGCTAAAGTAATATTTAAAATAGTGTGATTATCTAAAATGATGGTATGGCTCCACTGGGAGTGTTTCAAGAATATAAAATTCTAAGACTTCTACCTGGTTTTATAGAACTATTATTTATTTGTCTTGGCTTTTATTATATTAATTTATGCATTTATATTTTCAAAAAGAAGTTAGTTCCATGATAATCATTTTACATTTTGTCTTCATAATCTTACTATTTCTATTCATGTGTTTCATAGAGAGTGATTAATATGTTAGGTTTACCTGTTTTTTTTTTCACACAGATTTTTCCTGTTGTTGTTGTTGTTATTTTGCAGTTTTCTATAAAGGGAAAAACAGCTAATAAAGATGGAATTTATTTATACTAGTGAATAAAAGTTTAATTAAGCATCTTCAGTTTGGTTTTTAAATTGCTGTGCCTTATTCTCATCATTGATTTATGGTATTTTAGAAAATTATTGTTTCTATTTTTCTATTAAGGTGAAATCCATTCTTGAAAAAAATGAAGAAGAGCTATCGCAAGCAGTGAAGTGTCGAGATACAGCCCTGCAAGAGAGTCATAAGTTGAAAGGGAACTTGGAGGCTTTGGAGGATAGGGAAAACAAGAAGGCAAGGCAACCCTCTGTTCTGAAAGTTTGTCACTAAGATGAAGTGCTTATTAAAGCTTTCACGAGCCGTATTCCTGATATTCTTGTATCTGTTAGTAAAAGGAATGAGAAGTAATCAGAGGAAGAGTTCTTTTTATAGAAGATAACTTCATTATGGTTTTAAATATTTCCCTTAAAGATATGTCATGTAACTCCAATGTTTTTTAACTGTCTTGAAAGAATCAAAAGTCATAATGTTTCCTATTAAAATTCATCTGACCTTGGTAATAATAACATTCATACTTTTGTTTCATTAATGTGATATAACAGAACTATGATGCTTTCTCTTTAACATTCCTATGGTGTGTGCTTAGTGGGAACAGAAGTCACATCCCAAACTTTGCTTTTTAAAAACATTTTTATTTTTAATTGATACACTGTAATTGTATATATTTGTGCCATTCTGTATGACATGTATACAATATATAATAATAAAATTGAGGTAATTGAGATCTATATTACCTCAGACATTTATCATTTCTTTTTGTTGGGAACATTCAAAATCCTATGAGTCATTTTGAAATATTCAACTAGTTTTTGTCAACCATAATTACCTGTTGTGCTTAGTACATTAGGAGTTTTTTCTCCTATCTGCCTGTACTCCTGAACTGTTAACCATCCCATCTCCATCCCCATTCCCCCTCATTCTTCCCAGGCTTTGGTAACCAATATTCTATTCTATGCTTTTGTGAGATCAACTTCTTAGCTTCCACATGTAAGTGAGAACATAAAGTATTTGTCTTTCTGTGCTTGATTTATTTCACTTAATGACCCCCAATTCCACCATGTTGTTGCAAATAATAGAATTTCATTATTTTTATTGCTGAATAATATTATCCTGCATATATGTATCACATTTTCTTTGTCCATTTATCTGACCACATTCAAACTTTTTGAGAGCAGATGCTAGATTTTGCCTCTCTGCAGAGGGCTGTGAGCTGTATCTTTCTCCAACAGCTTCCAATTTCTCTTTCAGTCTAGAAAAAGAGATAATTCTGATGGATTTCAGATATTTTCTCTTCTGACCCCATCAGAAGACAGCTAAGTATACCACCTGGGATCACCTCTGAACTCACGAATTTGTCAACCTTATCATCTCTGGTTAATGTGTGTGCTGTGGTAGTGATAGTTAGTCTACCATGTTTTCTGTAGGATCAGGGGTCTACTTTGCTTTTTCTCAAAGTCACAATAACTTAAGAAATATAAAAATAAAATGTATTTTAGTTATTCATTTTAGTGTTCTACCATACCTGCTCTCCATACTCTCTCCTAGGAGTAATGAGACACACAAGAGTAATCAGAAAGGATCAAGAGTATATGTCTTGTTTCATTTTCTTTTAGGTAGGAAACTTTCAGCGACAATTAGCAGAGGCTAAAGAAGACAACTGCAAAGTTACAATCATGTTGGAAAATGTGCTGGCTTCTCATAGTAAGATGCAAGGTGCTTTAGAGAAAGTACAAATAGAGCTTGGGCGAAGGGATTCAGAGATTGCAGGCCTCAAGAAAGAAAGGTACCTATGATTATTTTCTGTCCTTGATATTGCTGCATTGTGTACTATAAAGGAATGTCCAGAGAGAACATGAAGTCACTTTATATCACTTCCCTCATGAAAGACTACTAAAATTTTCTTTAAAGATCTAGCAAATTGGAGGAAACCTGGAATTAGAAGTGAACATAACTTCTAAAAATTCAAAATGGCCATGTTTTGTTGTTATGTGAAGAAGTATGTATCCTTGAAAGTCATGCTGCATTGCTGTTTTTCCTTTGTTACTTTCTAACAAAGGAAACCTAATTTAAACCTAATTCTTCTCTTGGCTCTATGAATAGTAATAGTATTACTGAGATAATTAAAGCTGGACTGGGGTTGTAAGCTCAGTGGTGGAGCACTCCCCGACCATTCATGAGGCCCTACTTTTGATCCTCAGCAACTGGGAAAAAAGAAAATATATGTATGTATTTGACTACTTTAGTTTGAATTATTTATTTATTATTATCCTGTTTCAAGATTAAAAATTATTTTGGGTGAACTATTCTGAGAACTAACTACTTCTAGCCTTGTTTTACAAATAAGCTCTTCTTTGTTTTAAAAATTATATAAAATTTTCCTTTTAGGTTAAAGAACAAATGGCCTGAGTATAACAGGGCTTCTAAAATACATTGTATGTATTAGTGGTGCATGTTGCCTCTGTGTTGTGAGAGAATAAATGGATTCTACTTTCTTCATTGTGCTTATATTTTTTTACATATTGTTAAAATATATTATCTTCGAAGTAAAACCAAAAGTCAAGAGGACAATATTAAAAATATTGTTTGCCATTTACAATAAACTTCTAAGGAACTTTGTATTTAGAATCAAAAATCTCATCAGCAAAATAATCCTAATAAAAGTGATGAGTTTTTTTAACAATTAGTGATATAGGTAGTATAAAATTACCAGCCTATGAGTTATTCAGAAACATATATTGATAGCTTAATGCATCAAGCCAAGTTGAATCATAGATGGGACAAGTTATCTAATTCCTTAGAAGCCTTAGTTTTTTTCTCTAAAGCTGAGACTGTAATTGTCATCTACCAACTCAGGTATTTTGAGCATTTGTGACCTACTACATATGACACTCTTTGAGCATCTTAGAAGAAAAGTGTCCTGAAATTCCAAGTGGTATAATTCTTAGATGATTCTAATCTAGAGTCACTCTTGGGCTTTTTATTTTTAGGGCTCTAAATCAACAGAGGGTGCAGAAGCTAGAAGCTGAAGTGGACCAGTGGCAGGCCAGAATGCTTGTTGTGGATGCACAGCACAGCAGTGAGGTAAGGGCCAGGTGTTTAAAGATGAAAATACTGAGCTATTTTATTTTTTTAGGATGTTGCATAATCTCAAAAGTAGCTGGAGTGATCCCACTGTTAAAAAGGAAACACAAACACGTGTGCACATACATAAATATGTATCTCTGCATATGAGTATATATAAAATATGCATAAATATTTTATATAAATAAGTCTTTTTGGAAGAATATATAAGAAATAGTTGCCAGTTTTTCTCTCTCCTAGGGAATGAAACCAGAAGGTGATAGGATTGGGAAGAAGAATTTTAGTTACAATTTTTGAGAAATTAAGCTGGCTCTATTTTCCAAAGCTCTCTGATGATCACTGCAGCATAACCTTCCCATTGCCTTCTAAGAGTCTCCTAAGCAATCTCTAATAAATTTTCACTTATATTCCAGGCACCTGGAAACCTGTTCCTCGTTCCAACTAATTATTTCAATGGCACTTGAGGATACAGTGTAAGGAATGTAATGGGCTTCTTGCATCTATTATAATGACATTAAAAACACTCCTCTCTTTCAGATGGAGCCTCTACACAAAGCTCTAGAAATAGCAAGAGAAGACAACAGGAAATTGGCCTTGAGCCTGGAGCAAGCTCTTCAGACAAATAATCATCTGCAATGTAAGCTAGATCACATTCAAGAAAAATTGGAAAAAAAAGAACTTGAGCGGCAGAATTTGGAAACCTTCAAGTAAGGGCAATATAGTCACAGTAAATTTGGGAAAGAGCCTCTGGAAGAGTAAGGCCAGTTCATTCACATAAGCCAGTTAAATGCTTTTCTCCTACTTTGAGCTAGCACTCCAAACCAAACCATGGTAAAAAACCAAGCCTAGCTGATCTCCAGCAGATAACAGCTGGCTGGCGCATGCCCATTTGGTTCTCCTTTTCATCTCTTCCTTCTCCCATGGTCAAGCTGCTTCTTTATGTGAAGGTTAAAAAAAAATAAAGAATATTGATTGGAAAGGATTCTTACATGTTTCTTCCAAGCTTATGCATCCTTTTGAAGCATGATTTGGACAAGGAATAAGCAGTCTAGGTGAGACTAGAATGGAACAATTCCATCTAAGTAGATGTTAAACCATTAATTATTTTCAATTTTGACATGAAATTAGTTAGATCAAGCCCATCAAGTTCAGGTCAAACCACTTAAGTTTTGTCTTAAGTTAAAATCTAGGTAAATATGATTTACATACTAATATTATTAAATTAAAATTTATACCTAAGCTAAATGCAGTATGCATGTAGATCTTTGTTCTTTTCAGTTAGTGTACATGTTGATATAGGAGACAGGAATGAACTGAAGCAGAACAAGGTATTTTTCATATATGTGATCTGTGCAAATTTTATATTCTGATAAAATATTAACAATTACTGCCTCAAGACTACTCAGAATTAATTAAAACAATATTGTTTATGTAGTGGTTGGCCAAATCACTTAAAAACCCCTCAGTAGCCAGGCACAGTGGTGTAGAACAGAAATCCTAGCAGTTTGGGAGGGTGAAGCAGGGGGATCACAAGTTCGAGATTAGTCTCAACAACTTTGCAAAACTCTATCTCAAATTAAAATAATAAGGGCTAGGGATATAGTTCAATAATACAGTGGCCCTGGGATCAGTTCCCAGTACCAAAACCAAAATAAAACAAAAACCCAGACCTCTCAATGACAGCTTAGGTAGATAGGGTTTAGATAGCTAATAAATTATTTCAAACCCTGAAAATTCTCCAGGTAACCATAAAATATAATCCCTCCTCCTACTGCTAAAATGATCATAGCTGGATCATTTAGAGGAAAAGGGTGAACTGAAAGTCAGAGGTCTCCTTGCAGCATTTGCTTCAGAATTTACCTTTATGTCACTGTTTAATAGTTCATGTTTTCATCATGCTTCACATAAGACCTGTCAGCCTCTTGAAATTATGCAGGAAGAAAGACCAAGTTTGGGAGATTGTGTTTTAGACATGTTGGTTTTGAGGTAGAATTTTTAGACTGATAAATGGAAGCCTAATTTTGACAAGAAGTTAGAAGTTGAAATTCATACTTACAAAGATGAAAACTGATGTCTTTAGGTGGGTTAGTGTGCCCAGAAAGAAGTCTAGGAAGTGAACCAAGGTCAGAACTTGGGGGATCCACTACATTTCAGGGGGAAGGAACAAAAGTCAGAAAGGAAGCATTTATGGAGGCAAGGAAAGAATTTGGAGGATATAGAGTCACTGTAGGCAGAAATGAGTCAGATGCTACAAGAGTGGCAAAAACAATGAGACCAGAGACAGAGCATTAATCTTTGCAACTGGTACCTGTGGAGCATCCTTCAGTTAGTCAGTTTTTGTCCATCTAGAAAATTAAAAGGAATAAGTGATTGATGAGAAAAGGCAATGGTGAAAAGAAAGATTGAATAGTAATTCATGAAGAAATGTAGTAGATGAAGAAAAATTATTCTGCTAGGGTCTTGTTTTAGGATAGGAGGAACTGGAGCATGATTGAAAAGTAGGGGAAAGAATCTTATAGAAATGGAGAAAAATGAGAACAAAGAAAAGTAGAGGGGTTATCATTGAAATTGAGGTTATGCATTTCTTCCTCTGAGATCAGAAGGAAAGGAAAAGAAGGTGGTTCATTATTCAGAGAACCAGTGGTGGATGGTTTGATATTTTTCTTAGAAGAAATTAAAAGCAAATTGAATAAGTTCTAGAGATGTATATAACATAGTGCCTGTAGTTTACAGTACTGTACTATGTTGCTTAAACTTTGTTAAGAGGGTAGATTTTATGTTATGTTTCAGAGTTGGAGATGGATATGAAAGTTGAGGGTAAAAGGAAAATTAATTTTAAAAATTAAATTCAAATTAAAGTTAATAGAAACTCAAATTGCATTTGAGAAATACAAATTACATTTAATTAAAATTAGAATTTTTAGGACTAGATGATAGTAGCTGATATGTATTGTGCTGAGCACTTCCTTTTTTACTGTGACTATTTGATGCTAGGTACTGTTGTTATTCCCATTTTACAGATAAGGAAACAGGCATGGAAAGATGATTTACTATAACAAGATCACATATCATCTTGTTAGAGTTGGGATTTAGATCTAGGCAGCAGCAGGCCAACTCTAAAACCTCTAGTCTTCATCACTTTGCTAGAATAAGCACAATAAATTTAAAGACAATTTAGAAAGTTGTTAAGAAAATAAAAATACAATACCTGCTACACAAATAATGGTTTGTTCCCTTTATTGATCTCCATATATTTTTTGTCCATTTTTTAGATTGGTGTGGGTGGGGAGGAATGTGGGTATGTAATAAATAACAAAATAGTCATCTCCCTTAACTTCGGATCTCCCATCTATTTATGTGGTGCCATTAGAACAAGTGTCAACAAGTTTTTTGAGATGATGTGCCAAAGTTGATTGCCATGTTCCCACCTGAGGACCAGGAAGTGAGGGTGGGACAGAGTTACAGTTGTCTCCTGCAGGTCTCATTCTATAGACCAAGCCAAGTAGACTAGCTGAGTCCAAAAGCAGAGGTACTTTTAGAGGCACATGAGGAATGTGGGTATGTAATCCAAGTAAACACAAAAGATGCTCAGGAGGAGAGTGGGGAAAGGAAGATTTCATGGCAAGGCAGGTTCCTTTTGCTCTTTGAGAAATACAGATAATCATGGAATAGTGCCATACTAAGGCATTAGTATTTGGAGGCAAATAAGAGGTTAAAACTGGAAGAAGCCTAGCTGTTGTTTGAGTCCATTCTTTTTAAACCTTTCTTGGAGTCACCTATACTTGTAAGAGTCAAAAACTCACACCCACACACAACATTTTGCATATCATTTCAGGGTATTTCAGCATCTTCAAAAGCCAAATCTTGGATCTTGACCAAGGAACCCAAGTTAAGAATGCTTATCTAATATAAGACCCTCACTTCAAAGATAAAGAAATAATAACAATTAGAAGTTAAAACTTTAAGGAATGAATAGCTGATAGCAAAAAAAAATGATAAAATGAAAACAAGTGTCTCGAAGTATGACTGCTTCTGCTAATATTTTTCCTATGATTTATTTCACTCTTTTGATGAATCTCTTAATATAGACGGACATTTGTGTTTTGTTTTGTTTTGTTTTTTTAATGCTGCAGGTAAATGGAACTTTTTTGCTCTTAATGAATTCCAAATAAGATTCAACTAAAGACTGATCTTGTTTGTAAATCACACACATTTTGGAGAGTTGTTCATTCCTCTCCAAATCTTTCATGCTTCCTGAGATGGTTTCTAAAGCTTATTTATTGTCTGTCTTCCTCAAAACAGAGAACATATGGCTGAGGAGTCCAAAGTAGAAGCAGAGTTGCATGCTGAACGCATAGAAACTCTAAAAAAACAGTTTCAAAATGAGAGAGACACTGCAAAGAAGGCAGCACAACGGGAAAGTACTGAGGTACGAAGTCAAGTGACAAAAGCTTCCCTCTAGGTGAATGCCTTTTAAGAGGATAGCCAGCTGAAGGATTTCAGAGAATGACTGCATTTGTTCTCTGGCTCTTCTCATTCCCCTCTGGTCGGCAAGTGAGATATAATTTAGCCATCTCTATGCTGTTTGTAAAGCTACACTTTCTGATATACAGTTCTCTGCCCTGGGAAGGAATGCCTTGAGGAGAACTTTTACAGCAGAGAGCAATAACTGAGCCAGAAAGAGGAATGAGGAGACTGCCTTTAATGGAAACCCAGTCACATCTCAGTTCACTTAACCAGCATCCATTGTGCATCTACCTTCTCCAGAGAGCCACAGAATGAAGCGGTAGGAGATATAGTCCCTGCTCCATGCTAAATAACCCTGGTTTAATTGTGATCTCCACTCTGGACATGAGACAAACAGGGAAGACATCAGAGAACCTTTCTAGGATACCTAGAGGAAATGTACAGTTTTGGAGGAATTCAAAGTAACAAAGTTTATTCTAGGATGGCACTAGAAGATAGGAAACTTAATGAAAATATAGCCTTGAGTTTGGTGGAAAGGCAAGGCTGGACACTGTCTATAGAAACCCATGTAAAGCTGAGTTAGAAAAACCAACAGGACATAAGCAAATTAGAAGGAGCCCCTCTGACCAGACACTTAGGAAATGTTAGAGGGAGAGTGGTGAGCATAGGCAGCCAGGTGACTGTTGGCCTCACCTTCTAGACAATTCAGTGTGAACTGTTAGGTGAAAATGGAGTGATATAGGTTTCTGAGCAAAGAGGTTATATAAGAACAATTTTAAGAGTTAATGTGACAGCAGTACAGAGTAGGGAAGACGGCAGAGGAACTCTAGGCCTGGAAATACAAGAAAACCATGGCAGTTAATTTGGGTAATGGATGATTAGGGACAACCCAAATAGTTCTCCTGAAAATTTAGAAAGATTAAGTCAGAAAGCCTTTCTTTAAATTTTTTTTTTTGTGGTTGTAGATGAAGAGAATGTCTTTATTTTATTTGTTTATTTGTATGTGGTGCTGAGGATCAAACCCAGTGCCTCATGCATGCTAAGCAAACGCCCTGCCGCTGAACTCCAGCCCCAGCCCCAGCCCCAGCCCCAGCCCCAGCCCATAAAGCCATTTTAATTAGAAAAATAGTCAGACATTAAATGTATAATGAACATGAAGAGGAAAAAATTAAACAATTCCAAGACTTGATTAAGATGGCTGGTGTGAGTTTTTCCAAATTTGTTAGATTCAGTAATTGCCATTGACAGATCTCATTAACAAGCCAATATAGATATATAGAATGGTTTTATAAATTGCAAAATGCTACATAAATATAAATATTTTAATGAGCATATTCAATGGAAAACAAAAAAATGCACTAAATGTAAAAATGTACCTTTAGTTAGAGATTGTTATTCAGAATGCTTATAAAACTGAAATCCTTTATAACAAGGGTCAATGAGATGGTGAAGTTGTAAGAAGACCTCCCTGGGAACAGTGAAAATGTGACATGAGTGAGCAGGTGGAAACAGCAGTGGGTCATGTGCAGTGCCTCTCATTAGCTGTATGTTAATTTATTCTTTAGTGACTTAACTTTTGAGTCTTAGTTTCTCCAATCACTAAATAGAAATCATCACAACTATGGTCCAGGTTTGTTTTAAGAATTAAATTGAAAAGTATTTGTGAAGTAATTATCATGCTGCCTAAAATTAGTACAAAGTGAGTAGTGGTTTTGAGGCTCTTCTAGCTTTAGACAAAGCTGTGGTTAAGGTAACAGTGGAATTCTAACAGGAAGTTGGTTGGGTGCTGATAGAAGACTGTAAAGTTAAGATCTAAAGGAAGAAACTAGTATGGAGAGAAATGGTACAGGTAGTCTTCACTTCTTCACTTCATTCCTTATGTTCAGCACTACCATCCTAGAGAATACCACCTTTCTATCTCACTTCATCTCTCAGCTGCCTCTTCTTTTTAAACTGTAATTAGCATTGACTTAAAAAAATTATGAAAAAGGAGACTCACAAAAGTATTTCAGTAATCACCGTACTATTTTTCCATGAGAAAAACTTAACCAAATCCTTATGAACAAAAAGCAGTATTTTTTATTCTAATTAGTTTTACATGATAGTAGAATGTATTTTGACCTATTATACATATGTGGATTATAACTGCTCATTCTTCTGGTTGTACATGATGTAGAATTACATTGGTCGTGTAATCATATATTCACATAGGATAGTAATGTCAAATTTATTCTATACAATTAGTCAACAAATATATGAAATGTTCTATGTGTAGACAGCAAAGATTTTCTCCCATTCTGTAGGCTCTCTCTTCATGTTCTTGATTATTTCCTTTGCTAAGAAGAAGCTTTTTAATTTGATTTCATTCCACTTATTGATTATTGATTTTACTTCTTGTGCTTTAGGAGTCTTGTTGAAGAAGTCAGTCCCCAAGCCAACATGATATAGATAGATTTGGGCACAGGGTCTCTGATCCTAGTGCCTAAGTCTTTGCTCCACTTTGAGTTGAGTTTTGTGCAGGGTGAGAGATAGGGGTTTAATTTCATTTTGCTGCATATGGATTTCCAGTTATCTCAGCATCACTTGTTGAAGAAGCTATCTTTAACCAATGCATGTTTATGATGGTGCATTTTGTCTAGTATGAGATAACTGTATTTATGTAGGTTTGTCTCTGTGTCTTCTCTTTTGTACCATTGGTCTATGTGTCTGTTTTGATGCCAATACCATGCTGTTTGTGTTAGCTCTTTGTTATAATTTAAGGTCTGGTATTATGATGTCTCCTGCTTCACTTTTTTAAAAATTTTTATTTTTTAGTTTTAGTGGACACAACATTTTATTTCTATATGGTGCTGAGGATTGAACCCAATGCCTCATGCATGCTAGGCGAGCACACTACCACTAAGCCACAACCCCAGCCCCTCTTGCTTCACTTTTCTTGTTAAGAATTGCTTTGGCCTTCCTGGGCCTCTTAATTTTCCAAATAAATTTCATGACTACTTTTTCTATTTCTCTGAGGAACATCATTGGGATTTTAACAGGAATTGCATTAAATCTATATAGCACTTTTGTTAATATGGCCATATTGACAATATGAATTCTGCCTATCCAAGAACATGGGAGAATTTTCCATATTCTAAGCTCTTCTTCAGTTACCTTCTTTAGCATTCTACAGTTTTCATTGTAGAGATCTTTAACCTCTTCTGTTAGACTGATTCCCAAGTGTTTTATTCTTTTTCAGGCTATTGTGAATGGGGTAGTTTTCCTAATTTCTCTTTCAGTAGATTCATCACTGATGTATAGGAATATTTGATTTATGGGTATTAATATTATATCCTGCTACTATACTGAATTCGTTTATAAGTTATTAAAGTTTTCTAGTGGAATTTTTTTTTAGTTCTTCTAAATACAGAAAAATATCATCAGCAAATAGGGATAGTTTGAGTTCTTCTTTTCCGGTTCATATCCCTTTAATTTTCTTTCCTTTGCCTAATTGCTCTGGCTAGAGTTTCCATGACCATGTTGAATAGAAGTGATGAAAGAGAGCATCCTTGTCTTGTTCTAGTTTTTAGAATAATCTTTTGCTAGTTTTTAGAAAAAATTTTAGAACAATTTTTCTCCATTTGAAATCATGTTGGCCTTAGGTAAACATATATAGCTTTTACAGTGTTGAGGTATATTCATTCTATCTCTAGTTTTTCTAGTGTTTTGAACATGAAGGGATGCTGTATTTTGTCAAATGCTTTCTCTGCATCTGTTGAGATAATCATATGATTCTTGTCTTTAAGTCTATTGATGTGATTTAATGATTTCCATATGTTGAACTAACCTTGCATCCCTGGGATCTACCTCACTTGATTGTGGTGCACTAACTTTAATATGTTTTTATGTATGATTTATCAGAATCTTATTGAGAATTTTTACATAAGTTCATCATGGGTATTGGTCTGAAGTTTTCTTTCCTTGATGTGTCTTTGTCTGGTTTTGGTATCAGAATGATACTAGTTCATAGAATGAGTTTTGAAGGGTTCCCTCCTTTTATTTCATGGAATAATTTGAGGAGGATTTAGGTGTTCTTCTTTGAAGGTCTGGTAGAACTTGACTGAGAATCCATCTGGTCCTGGGCTTTTCTTAGTTTTAGGCTTTAGATGGCATCTTCTGTTTCACTGCTTGAAAATGATCTGTTCATATTGTGATTGTCTTCCTGATTCAGTTTGAGTAGGTCATATGTCTCTAGAAATTTCTCAATATCTTCAAGATTTTCTATCTTATTGGAGTACAGATTTTCAAAATAGTTTCTGATTTTGTCTGTATTTCGGACTACTGAAGTGTCCATCATATTTCCTTTTTCATCACAAATTTTAGTAATTTAAATTTTCTATCTCTGTCTCTTCTTTAGTGTAGCTAAGGGTTTATTGATTTTATTTTTTTAAAAATCAACCTTTTGTTTTGACAATTTTTTAAATTGTTTCTTTTGTTTCAATGTCATTGATTTAAGCTCTGATTTTAATTATTTCCTGTCTTCTACTGCTTTGGGTGGTGGTTCTTCTTTTTCTAGGGCTTTGAGATGTAATATTAGGTTATTTATTTGCTGATTTTTCTGTTGTTTTAATAAATGAGCTCAATGCAATGAACTTTCCTCTTACCACTGCTTCATAGTGTCCCAGAGATTTTGATATATTGTGTCACTATTCTCATTTACTTCCAAGTTTTTTTTTTAAATTTCATACCTGATTTCTTCTGCTATCCATTGGTCATTCAATAATGTATTATTTAGTCACCAGGTGTTAGAGTAGCTTCTATTTTTTATTTTACTGTTGATATATAATTTCATTCCATTATGATCTGATAGAATGCAAGAATTCTCTGTTTTTTTTCTATTTGCTGAGAGTTGCTTTGTGGCATAAGATATGTGTGCTGCTGAGAAAAAAGTGAATTCTATAATTTATTGATGAGATACTCTATATTGCCTGTTAAGTCTAAATTATTGATTGTATTATTTAGTTCTATAGTTTCCTTTTTGTTTGATGGATCTATTTGGTGGTGAGAGAGGTGTGTTAAAGTCACCCAAAATTATTATATTGTGGTCTATTTGATTCTTGAAATTGCAAAGTGTTTGTTTGATGTATGTAGAAGCTCCATTGTTTGGGGCATAAATATTTATAATTGTTATGTCTTGTTGATGTATAATTACATTAAGCACTATGAGATGACTTTCTTTGTCCCTTCTGATTAACTCTGGATTGAAGTCTACTTTGTCTGATATAATAATAGAAACCCCTGCTTGTTTAGGTGATCTATATGAGTGATATTGTTTTTCCCATTATTTCACCCTTAGTCTGTGGATGTCTTTGCCTATGAGGTCTCTTGGAGAAAGCATATTGTTGGGTCTTGTTTCGTAATCCAATCTTCCAATCCGTGTCTTTTGATTGATGAATTTAGGCTATTTGCATTCAAGGTTGTTATTGGAAACAGATCTTTATTTCCTATCATTTTTATTTATTTCTGGTTTTTAATTTGTATTAGTTTCTCCACTGATTTCATCTTCATGGAATATTTTGCTGAGAATGTTCTGTAGTGCAGGTATTCTAGTTGTAAATTTTTTTAACTTTTGTTTATCATGGAAGGTTTTGATTTCATCGTCAATTCTGAAGCTTAATTTTGCTGGGTATAGCATTCTTGATTGGCATCCATTTTCTTTCATAGCTTGATATATGTTATTCCAGGACATCCTAGCTTTGAAGGTATAGATTGAGAAATCAGCTGAGATCTGGATTGGTTTACCTCTACACTGTAATTTGACATTTTTTTCTCCCACTCTTTAAAATTCTATCTTTATTGTGTATGATATGCATCTTCATAATAAAGTTTTTTGGTCTGTTGTAATTTTGTACATTTGGTGTCCTGTAAGCCTCCTGTATTTGATTTTCTATTTCATTTCTTACAATTTGGTAAATTTTCTGATATTATTACATTGAAAAGATCATGCATTCTCTTGCTTTGTGTCTCCACATCTTCATGTACCCTGATAAATCTTAATTTGGTGTTTTTATGCTATCCCATATCTCTTGGAAGTTCTTTTCAAGATATCTTAACATCTTCTATGTTCAACTTTATTTTTTAATTTTTTGTAGTTGTAGATGAACAGCATACCTTTATTTTGTTTCTTTATTTTTATGTGGTGCTGAGAATTGAACTCAGTGCCTCAAACATGCTAAGCAAGTGTTTTGCCACTGAGCTATAGCCCCAGCCCTCAAATTATTTTTAAGGTTATATATTTCATCTTCCTTGGCTGAAATTCTGTCTTCCAAGTGGTCTAGTCTGTTGATGATTCTTCCTATTGAATTTTTAATTTGGTTTATTGATTCCTTCATTTTGAGGATTTCTGCTTGATTTTTTTTCAGAATCCCTATCTCTTTATTGAAGTGATCGTTCACCTCCTGAATTTTATCTCTGATTTTATTCTTTACATCATCCTTTACCTCATGGATCAGTTTAACCCTGTACACTCTAAACAACTTTTCGGACATTTCTTCTGCTGTGGATCAATGGATTCTATTAATGGAGCATCTTAGTTTATTTAGGGAAATTCTCTTTTTTTGCTGTTTTTGTGTCTACCCATCTATCAGTGTAGATCTTAGGCAGTACATTTTATACCTTGTAGATTTATAGTGTCCCTGAAGGCTTCCAGGACCTCACCTTTAAGGGGAAGACCAATATTAACAGCAACCAATGCAAACAATATACAGCCTTAAACCAAATAGCTCCTACTGTGATGTCTATAGTTTTGTCACAATAAACAGAAATGATAATTTTAGTTATTGCCTACAGTAAAAACAGTAAGTTTGCAAAAGAGTTTACAATTTCAGGTGGTGGACAAAGAACAGAAGTTGTGTAAGGTTTGATGAGAAAGTAAGAGAGGAGATAGAAGTTAAAAATTATAGGAAGAGTGAAAGAGGGAATAATAGAGATTGGCTGTTAGCAGGAGAAAAGAGAAAGAAAATCAAGGAAAACATATAAGAGAAAAAATATGTATAAAATAAATTTTTTAAAATGAAAAATAGAAAAAAGTAAAAATAAAGAATACAAAACAAATGTACTGTTCATACATCCTATTCCTCAGTAAACTGATGCATGAAAAATAATTGCTTTCAAAAATGATAGAAATGTGAGAGAAAAAAAAGGAAAGGTAAAAACTAAAACAATCTCAATGAAAAATTGACAGTTGTTTCCTTTGGAGTTCAAAAGTTTCTCAGCTTCACTTCTTAGCAGTTAAGTGCGTGGGGTTTCTAGGGTGAGAGGGTTAATCCAGGAGTGGTAACTCCTAGAGGGTGGGGTATAGGCTTAGGTATACTTCAATCTCTTTGCTGAATGCCAGTTGGTCTGGAGATTTTAAGTCAGCACACCTCCGGTGCCCAGCAATTGCCATGCCACGCTGGAAGATTGCACCCCTGGAATGTCTTTTGGATTCTATTCGTGTAGTGTAGGAGCCTGTTCTTAGCCCACTAGATTGCCTGCATACCTCACAATTCCTGGTCTCAGATTCAGTCTCCAAATTCAATCTCTCCCACCTCTACTCTTTTGAATTCCTGGTCAGGCATTTCTCTTCCCAGTGGGTCCTGAAAGCAGCATGATTAGAAGGGGAGAGGGAGGCCAAGTGGGTTTCCTCAACCAGTATTACCCTGTGTAAACCTGTATCCATGCTTGATTTTTCTCCTGGTCACTTTGGCACACCCTCTGTCATGCAGCATAGGTTTGCCCAGCTTGTTTTTTGAGCTAGACTTGGGCTTCAAAAAGCAATATTATAAAAACATATGCAGTTAAGTTGACAGCTGACAAGTTTAATGATAAATTACCATATAATTTATTTTCCCTTCTCAAGACATGAGACTGCAAATGACAGAAGAGAAGAGCTTATAGCATGGCAATAATTATTGTGTACCAGGCTTCACATTCTTTCTCTACATTTTATTATTTAATTTAGATTTATGAATATCTTTTTCATACTTTTAGGTTGATGAACCTGAGGCTTGAGAAAGTTAATTGCCCCAAATTACTCAGATAGTAAATAGTGAAGCTCAGAGTTGAACTTAGGAGTCTGTCTGACTCCAAAGCCATGCTCTTTAACTGCAAACAAGGAATATACATGTATGTTCTTTATCTATTGTAAGAAATATTTTATTCTTTAGTATTAAAAATTATGAAAATCACTTGATCTGTTGCTCTATAAATCTGCTTACTCCAACATCATTATCTTGTTGCTTATTCTCCTTTTTAAAAGACAGCAAAATATGGGAACAAAAATAAACAAGCTTCTCTTACCAAATGGTAGGTAAAAATGTTCCAATTTTTTCCTTTGTGTCCTAAGCTGAAGAAAGCCCTTGATGAAGCCAACTTCAGATCAGTGGAGGTATCCCGAACCAACAGAGAGCTGCGGCAGAAACTTGCAGAGCTGGAAAAAACACTGAACAGTAACAAGGAGAAAATAAAGAATCAAAAGGCCCAAATAAAGCTCCACTTATCCACTAAGATGAATAATGCTCAGAATGTGGAGAGAATGAAGGTGTCTGAGATATTCTATGTCCCTAAGTCTCCCCTCACTTTCTTAGTGTGCTATGAGGATCCAGACAGTCATGGGAGTCTAAGAAAGATAGATTTTAGAGCCTTAACAGAGCATGTATCCTCTGAGAATTTACAGCCACAACTGGGAAGTGGGCAAATTGCCTGTGCGGGACCATCTCTATTTTAGTGGAGATGTATCTTTGTAAATGTTTGGTTTCTTACTAGCTGCCAGTGTCATATTCTGGCTCCCCATCTGTCTTCTCTGTGTTGACTGTACTGCACTTTGCTCTTTGGGGGTCAGTAAGCCACATAGGAAAGAGCCCAACAGGAACCAAAGTTATAAAACCTTGGTTCTCATATGGGATTCTGTCATCTAAAGGCAAAAAGAAAAAGCTGCTTTTCCCATTGATCATCTTTTTTAAATGTTATTTCTACATTTACTTTCAGCAAATAGAAACAGAATTGAGGCAAATGGAGCTAATTAAGGATCAATATCAGAAAAAAAACTATGAACAGGTAGATGATTTCTACAATCTATTTACTATTCATTACAAAATTCCAACGTAGATACACTAAATATCTTCCTATTTGTTTTCTTCCAGTCATTGAGTATCCAGAGATTCGTATCTGAAATGAGTAACCTGCAGAAAGAGATGCAGCTGTTAGCCAAGAGCCAATATGAAACTTCAGCACGGAATAAACAGCAAGAGCTTCGACTAATAGCAGAGCAGAAAATGAGACAGGAATTAGAAAATCGGTGTCAGGTAAAAGGTTTCTTAAGATTCTTTTCAAAGATTATGAGTAGATGGCCTGTGCCTAAAACCAGCATTATAGCATCTAGGTTTTCTAGATTCGGTAGTAGAAAACATATTTAAAATTTGTTCATCTTAGTTAAGTTCTTAGAATAGTAATACCTAGAAAGAAGCCTAAGCTTGGAATATGGCAAATGTTTTCCGTTTTCAATTTAATAAGTGTTTACTTTTAAAGAAAAGCTAGAGTTCACATTTGCAAAATATCAGTTACTAAGTAGTCAGACTTCTGAAGTGGATTTCATAGTCTTTAGGAAACATATACCCATTGATTCTTCCCTATAACATAGATGCATACCTGTTGCTATTATAGGAATTTTAGCTATTCCTAACCTAGTAAAAAAGTATGACATTATATTGCTACAAAGGTACTTCAAGAGAGCATTGAATTCTTGTCTTCCAATAGGGATTGTCTGCTATGAAAGGTATCTCTCCAATTCTGAAAAGAGACATTAATCACTTTCTCAGCAGAATTCATAATTCAGATCAGAATCTGTAACAATATACATATTGAAGAGTGTGAATTAGACTAGTGATAAATTTGTCTCTTGTATTTTGGTAGCACCTGAAATTTAAAAGTGTATAGAATACTAAAATACTACTTTCATAATTTGGTTGCTGTATTACAAATTTGAAACTTCTTTTATATGGTACATTGGATGTTTTTAAAAATCTTTCTGACATCTTCAGGAATTGGGAGAAACTGTTAGACACCTGAAGAAATGTAAAGAGGCAACGGAGAACAAATTGAAAGAAGCCAGTGTGGAATCAGAACAGGTGAGCCAGCCCATAGCCATAAAGACTTAGACAATAGCCTTGAAACAGGCATGTGAGTTCATCAGTTGTCATGAGTACAACAGGCAAGAACCAATAATTTACTAAGTAAAGTCTCTATTGTAAAAAGATAAGTTGTTTTTAGATTAAGAGTTTATGTCTTGATAATAGGTAATAGAATACTAAGATATTAATTGAATGCTGAAGTCTCTAAGTTTTGACCACTAAATATAAGGGAAGACCACCAAGTGTGTTGATTTTACTTCATTATTTGACTTGAATTAAGAAAATTGGAAATTCTTTGTTATATCAATAACTAGAAGCATAAAGTATGTCCTAATATGTGCATTTGCTTTCTCTATTCTACTCGTAAATTGGGGGAGGACTGGGAAGATCGCAGAGGAAACAAGGTTGCTTTCCAAGCTACTCTGTGGTGTGAGACCAAGATAGCAGATAAACAGCTCAGTGAGATGGGTGAAAGAGGGATTTTACTGGGATTTAATGCTGGACTCTCAGAACAGCTTGGAGACTCAGAAGATTGGATATAATAAAATAAAAGAAGAAAGCCCTGCCAGTGCTAGTGGCTGCCAGAGCTAATACACTGTGGGCAAAGCAGGGAAGGGAACTAAGAGAACCTGCATTTAAGGTGGCACAGTGGTGTGTCTTGGTATGGAGAAATCAGAGATCAAGGACTCTGGCAGACTGATCTGAAAGTGTGCCACACTATTAGCCTTGTGTAACAAAGATGCTGTGTGTCTCCTGGTGGTCCACAGAGAGCCAAGGCAGGAGCCATCTTTTCACTGTGCTGTGGTGGCTGGAAGCAATGGGAGCAAATCTAGGAGCCTGGACCTGGAAAATCTGAGCTGGATCTGAAAGTCAGGCTTGCCTGATGCCTACCACATGACTCAAGAGTGTAATTAGGAAACCAGGAGAGATTCAGGCCTCGAGAATGTTTTACTTGGGGGAATTCAGGTTGTTGAAACCTGAGAGATTCTGGGTCCCTCTCCCTCTTTGAATCTATTGACTTGCAGGATCAGCTGGGGTGGGCAGGAAATTCAGATGGGCAGGAGTGACTGTGCTTGGGGACTGAGCCCAAGGCCAGGAAGGGTGAGATCTGCATGTGGCATAGGTGGTGCAGGATTGGCTCCTCCACTGCACAAGTGTGGCCCAGGGGGACTCCTGGGGTTCATTCTCCCAGCATGGATCAGCAGCTGCCAGACCCTGGAGGTGTTCTGATTTAAAATTCTCAGACCAATCACCATTCAGTTGTAGCACCTGGGGCCTAACTAGACCTAAGCCCTACCTTCAGGACCTCCATCGATAGGAACTCCTCTTACAGAATTCTACAGTGATCCCATCGTGAGAGTGGAGAACAGCACTCTTCAACCCACTCCACCTCATACTGCCACAAGGGAAGCCAAGAATTTTTGAACTCCAACCGGCAACTAGATGAGCAACACAAAAAGAAGCGAGGATTTGCAGCTAGTATGCTAGTATTCTTGTGCGTGGTACTTATGGAAAGAAAGACATTTGGGAACAGTCAATAAACATATATTCTCATTAACGATTTTTGACCACCACAATAGAAACAATTCCTTAAGTTTTCATCAAGAACTTTTTTTTATTGTTTGCTTGTGTACTAAATTATTCATGGACATTTATATTTGTCCCTTTTCTCATTTCTAGCATTTTTTGAAGGTAGTTATTTTTCATGACTGTCTTTTGAAGGCTAGGGTTTTTGATTAGTATGTTTTAGGTTAGTTTCTTTTTTTTCCTTGTCTATTTCTCTTTACTTTCTTTCTCTTTTCTTTGGCTAACAGCCAATTTCTATTGCTCTCTCTTTTACTCTTCCTTTAATTTTTTATTTCTACTTTCTTTCCTCCTCCCTCATAATCACATCCTATATCACTTCAACATTCTTTCTGTTCACTTTTGAAATAGCAAACCCTTTTGCAAACTTATTGTTTTAATTTTGGTAATTGCCTATTATACCAATTAACATGGTAGATGTCATAATAGGTACTAAGTATTTAGTTTAATGCTATATCTTGTTTACATTGGTGGTTGTTATTATTTGTCTCCCCCTAAACTATGAGGTGCTAGAAACCTTCAGGGATACTGGGTTCATAAGGTAGGAACTCTGCCACCTCCAGTTCATACTGATAAATGGGTAAACACACAAACAAAGTGAAAAAGCAAGGGAACAAACCATCCCAATACAAAATACCTCAATATGAGAATCCACTATAACACAGTGGGGGAAATGTCACAGAAAAAAAATTTAGAAAGTTTATAACTAAACTGATTTGCAAATAAAAGATGATGTAGGGAATGAAATCAGAGAGAAAATACAGGAAGTGAAAGATCACTTCAATAAAGATAGATTCTGAAAAAGAATCAAATGGAAATCCTCAAAATGAAGAAATCAATTAGCCAAATTAAAAATTCAATGGAAAGCATCACCAATAGATTAGACTACTTGAAAGACAGAGTTTCAGACAACTAAGACAAAATATGTAGTCTTGAAAATAAAGTTGCCTATGAAAAAATATTAGGAGACTATGAACAGAATTTTCAGAAAATACAAGATAACATGAAAAGGCCAAATTTAAGAATCATTGGAATAGATGAAGGCTGTAAAATACAAACTAAAGGAATGCACAATATTTTTAATGAAATAACATCAGAAAATTTCCCAACTCTTAAGAATAAATGGGAAATCAAATAAAGGAGGCAAACAGGACTCCATCCGTATAAAATTACAACAGACTCACACCAAGGCACATTATTATGAAAATGACTAATATACAGAATCAGGATAGAATTTTAAAACTACTATAGAGAAACGACAGGTCACATTTAAGCATAAAGCAATTCGGATCTCAGCTGATTTCTCAACCTACACCTCTCAAAGCTAGAAGGTCTTAGAATAATATGTATCAAGCTCTGAAAGAATATGGAGGCCAACAAAGAATATTCACCCAGCAAAATGAAGCTTCAGAATTGAAGATGAAGTAAAAACTTTGCACAATAAACAAAAGGAGTCACAACTACAAAGCCTACACTACAAGCATGAATAAAATATTTCATGAAGAAAAAATGAAAAATAAAATTATAAACCAGCTTACGGAGGAAGTATGCTAGAAGAATAGTTGATCCAAGGAGAAACTAATACAATTAAAAATTAGAAATAAAATTACAGGAGTAAAAATCATCCCTCAATAATAACATTGAATGTAAATGGCCTAAGCTCATCAATCAAAAGACATAAGCTGGAAGATTGGATTAAAAAATAAGACTCAGTAATATGTTGTCTCCAAGAGAATGACTTCATAAGCAAAGACATCCACAGACTGAAGGCGAAAGGATGGGAAAAAACATATCATTCACATGGATCTTATAAACAAGCAGAGGTTTCTATTCTCATATCAGCTAAAGAAGACTTCAAGCCAAAATTAATCAGAAGAGACAAAGAGGTCATTTCATACTGATTAATTAAATTACACATCAATAAGACATATCAGTCATAAATATTTATGCCCCAAACAATGGAACATCTGTATACATCAAACTCTTCTCAATATCAAGAATCAAATAGACCACAACACAATGCTTAATGACATTAGCAGGCCTCTCTCATCACTAAATAGATATTATTTTTAAAAATTAATAAAGAAGCTAGAGAACTGAATAATTCAATTAATAATTTAGACTTATGAGACATATATTATTCATGACTGACCATACTTCTCAGCAGAACATGGATCATTCTCTAAAATAGACTATCTTAGGCCACAGAGCAACTTTTAATAAACACACACACACACACACACACACACACACACAAAATACCTTGAATTATATCAAATCATAATAGAATAAAATTAGAAATCAACGATAAAATAAAAAAGAAGTTACTCAAACACCTTGATACTAAAAAAAATATTCTATTGAAAGATGAATGGATAGCAGAAGAAATCAGGGTGAAATAAATAATACTTAGAAATAAGTGAAATAATAATATAGCATATCAAGATCTTTGGGACACTGAAGGCAGTTGTAAGAGGAAAGTTAATAGAATTGAGTTCATTCATTAAAAGAAAGACACCAGGGGCTGGAGTTGGGGCTCAGCAGTAATGCTCTTGCCTGGCATGTGTGAGGCACTAGATTTGATTTTCAGCACCACATGTAAATAAATAAAGGTCTATCAACAATTAAATACACACACACACATAAAAAAAGACACCAAAATACCTAACATTATATCTCAAGGGTCTAGAAAAGAGGAATAACCATTAAAAGCAATAGAAGACAGGAAATAAATAAAATCTGAGCCAAAACCAATGAAATTGAAACAAAATATTTCCAAAAATCAGTGAAACAAAAAGTTGATTCTTTGAAAATATAAAAGTGATAAACTCTTAGCTAAGCTAACCAAAAGAAAGAAACAGGGAAAAAACTCAAGATTATTAAAATTTGTGGTGAAAAAGGATGTATTCACCATAGACACTACTGAAATACAATAATCAGAAACTATTTTGAAAATTTATACTCCAATAAAATAGAAAATTTGAAGACATCAACAAATTTCTGAAGACATATGACCTACCCAAATTGAACCATGAGTTCATAGAAAATTTAAACAGATCAATTTCAAGTAATGAAATTGAAAATGTCATCAAAAGCCTATCCACTAAGAAAACCCAGGACTAGATGGATTCTGAACTGAGTTTTTACCAGACCTTTAAAGAAGAACTAACACTAATCATCCTCAAATTAACCTGCAAAATAGAAATGGAGGGAGCTCTTCCAAACTCATTCTATGAAGCTAATATCACCCTGATACCAAAAACCAGGCAAAGATACACCAAGGGAAGAAAACTTCAGATCAATATCCCAGATGAACATAAATGCACAAATTCTTAACAAAATCTGGCAAACCACAAACACACACATATTAAAAAGAAAAATACTGCATTATGATCAAGTGGGTTTTATTCTAGAGACTAAAGTTTTGTATAACAGATGGAAATCAATAAATGTAACTCACAACATAAATAAGTGTAAAGGCAAGAATCACATGGTTATCTCGATTTATGCAGAAAAAGCATTTGACAAAATACAGTATCCATTCATGTTTAAAACACTAGACAAACTAAGAATAGTAGGAACATACCTCAACATTGTAAAACCTACATATGGCAAACCCAAGGCTAAGATTATTCAAACAGAGCAAAACTGTGAAAACATTCTCTGTAAAAACTGGAACAAGACAGAGATGTCCTCTTTCACCATTTTTATTCAGTATAGTCTTTGAAACTGTAGCCAGAACAATTAATATAAAAGAAATTAAACAGATCAAATAGGGAAACAAGAGCTTAAACTATCTATTTGCTAATGTCATTATCCTATATTGAGAAGATCCAAAAAAACTCCACCAGAAAACTTCAAGAACACATAAATGAATTCAGCAAAGTAGCAAGATACAAAATTAACATCCATAAGTCAATTTTGCTCCTATCCACCAATGATGAATCAGCTGAAAGAGAAATTAGGAAAACTATGCCTCACTCATACACTGGAAATCAGTCTAACAAAGGAGGTAAAAGACCTCTATAATGAAAACTACAGAACACTAAGAAAACAATTGAAAAATACCTTAGAAGATGGAAAGCTCTCCCATGTTCTTGGATAGGCAGAATTCATATTGTCATAATGGCCATAATATACAGATTTAAAGTAATTCCTACTAAAATTCCAATGACATCCTTCAGAGAAATACAAAAGATAGTCATGAAATTCATTTGGAAAAATAAGAGGCCCAGAATAGCCAAAGCAGTCCTTGGCAAGAAAAGAAAAGCAGAAGGCATCACAATACCAGACCTACACTGCAAAGCTGTAGTAACAAACACAGCATGGTATTGGCACCAAAACAGATATGAAGACCAATGGAATAGAAGACATAGAGACAAACCCACATAAATACAGTGATCTCATACTAAACAAAGGTGCCATTGAAGAAAAGACAGCCTCTTCAACAAATGGTGCTGGGAAAACTGGATATCCATATGTAGCAGAATGACATTGAGCCCCTATCTCTCACCCTGCACAAAACTCAAAGTAAATCAATAACATACAAACCTTGCCCCTACTAGAAGAAAATGTAGGTCCAATACTTGAAGATGTCAGCTTAGGAACCAACTTCCTCAATAAGACTCCTAAAGCACAAGAAATAAAATAAAAAATAAATAGGATTGGAATAATACTAAAATCTTCTTTGCAACAAAGGAAACAATAAAAAGTATGAAGAGAAAAAGAACAAAATGGGCGAAAATCTTTGCCCCCTCCACCTCAGATAAGGCATTAATTTCCAGGATGTACAAAGAACTCAAAAACCTTAACACCAAAAAAAAAAACCCAATCAATAAATGGACAAAACTAAATAGACACTTCTCAAAAGAAGAAATATAGTCAACAAACGTATGTAAACAAGAGATTTTCAACATCTCTAGCAATGTAAAGTAAAACTATAATGTTTTAACCTTAACTCCAACCAGAACAGCAATTTTCAAGAATACAAGTAACAGTAAATGTTGGTGAGGATTTGGTGGAAAGGATACACTCATAAATTGTTGGTGAGTCTGTAAATTAGTACAACCACTCTGGAAAGCAGTATGGAGATTCCTCAACTTTGAATGGAACCACCATTTGACCCAGTTATCTCACTCCTTAGTATAAATACAAAGGAGTTAAAATCAGCATACTATAGTGACACAGCCATATCAACATTTGTAGCAGCTCAATTTACAATAGCTGTGCTATGGAACCAACCTAGATGCCCATCAACAGATGAATGGATAAAGAAATTATAGTGTATATACAACAGAATATTACTCAGCCATAAAGAAGAATTAAATTATTGCATTTGCCAGTAAGTAGATGAATCTGGATACTATCATGCTAAATGAAATGAGACAACCTCAAAAAATCAAAGATTGAATGGTCTCTGTTATATATGGGTGCTAACCACAATATGATGGGTGGGTAGGGAAAGAATGAATGAAGTTCATTGGATTAGATAAAGGGGAATGAAGAGAAGGAGGGTAGATAGGAATAGAGAAGACAGTGAGATGAATCTGACATAACTTTCCTATATTCATATGTGAATACACCACAGTGAATCTGAACATTGTATACATCCTATTTAGAATAAGATATATTCTATGCTTGTGTAACTATATAAAAATAAATTCTATTCACGTATAACTAAAAAGAACAAATTAAAAATAAACTTAAATTGGCCTATTTGAAAGTGTTTTAAATCATACATTTTTAGATCTAGGAAGGCTCTTTGAGGTTATAGTTCTCCCACAACCACCCTTTATTTTCTGGATTTAGAAAACAGACATTCTTAAAGTATCACTGCTGTCTTGTAGCCACTGAATCACAACATGATTTGTAGAATGGTATATTAGGAATAGTATGTACTCTGAGAGACCCGAGTTTGAGTGTCAACTGTGACACTGACTGTGTGCACTTAGGTAACTTCCCTATCAGTTACCACATCCACATAATAATTATTTTATTCTAATAGATATCTCTGAGTGTTAGCTCCTTCTCATTCATCATACAATAGATGTCATGTACAAAGCCATTTCAAGTACCGTTTCTTCCATTCCTTGTAGATACTAGAGAAAGAGAAGTTTGGTTTGGGAAAAGTGGAATTATAGTTGTTATCAAGATGCACAAATGGACCTGGAAGACATTTTAGCTTTGTAGTTTCTAAAAGTTAAATAACACTGAGTTCAGTTTTCTTAGCTTCCTATATAGTGTGCCCCCTATACTGACCTAACTAATCTGTGAGAGGTAGAAAGCAGTGCATACTTCTTGAGGACTTAACTCTGTGTCAGATACCTTGCTAGACAAGGGAAATCCAGATTCAGGTGAGGGATGTCCTGGAAACATTAACAAGTGCATGAAGAGCAGTGAGCCTGTATGCATTCCTTTAACCCTCATTTAGAAATTACTCTTATTTAATCGGTTGTTAAATGTATTGTATATATGAATAGTTTACAAGGACCTTGCAGTCAGAACTTAGGTCTTTTTCTAGGTAAAAGTCTGTAAAACTAATAGGAAAAAAAAACCTGTATTCAGATAACAGCTAACCTGCAAGAAGCTCACCGCTGGTTTCAGTGCAAGTTTGATGGCCTGCAACTTGAATTGACAAAAAATCGGTTGCAGAGGCTTCCCCGGGAAGACATATGGCTAGAAGAGGTAAGGTTAAGATGCCTTAAACAATTTCAAGTTTATACCTTCTCAAACTTCAAATTACAGAAGTCTTATATCATCTAGCTACTCTTTTTTTAATCTTTAGATTTCTTTAAACTACTTCTAATAAACCAACGAACTGATTTTTTTCTCCAAAGAGAGGAATGGTGGAATAAGTCTGAAACTCTCCTGTATGAATATACCATAGTGAATTTCACCTTTATGTGTATCTATAATGTACTAATTTAAAACAAACTATAAATAAATAGAAGAAAGCCTGGTAGAGTAGAGGAAAGGGAACAGGGAGAGGGAGAAGGAGGGCAGACAGGGGATGTACTGGGGACTGATGTGGAATAAATTATATTCCATGTTTTATAATTATATAAAAATGAACCCCAATATTATATATAACTACAATGATAATTAAAATAAGTTAGGGGCTAGGATTGTGACTCAACGGTAGAGTGCTCACCTACCATGCATGAGGCACTGGGTTCGATCCTTAGCAGCACATAAATTAAAGTAAGATATTGTGTCCACCTAAAACTAAAAAATAAGTATTTAAAAAAATAAGTTATACCCTATTTCTAATGTCTAGGTTAGGACCACCTTACCAGATGAATTAAGTGACATTCACAGAGGCCATTAGGTGCTAAGCACTGTACTCAGAACAGACAAATGTACTTTCTTTTCAACAGGATCAAGATACAAGACATGATTTTTCCAATCAGTCTGCTCTGCATCGATGGGAGGCTAAACAGAATCTTGGATTCATGGCCAAGAAGTGTCATTCTGAGGTAGAGAGGAAGTGATGTCCTTGACAAAGGAACTTCTTCATGTGCAGCTACACCTCCACGATTCTGCAAGCCACACAACTAGGGCTGGCCTGTTTGTACAGTCATAAGAATGTGAAGTCTTTGATGTGGGCTGAAGATTTTGGACCTTAGTTAATCTTTTACAAACCTTTATAATCACTACAGAACCACCCTATCTTTGTCCCTTTCCCTATTTTCCACCCAATAAATTTAGTTTGTTTTATAATAGGAAATGCCATTGCATGATATTTGGCTATTTCTTATTACATTCTATCAAAAAGTATTTAGTGAGGAGTTAAATGATATAATACTTTGAGTCAGTACTAGTAGTACTACATCTACATATCCAGTAGATCATTCCTGGAAAAAGTCACCTGGAGAATGGTAAAAACTCTTCCACTGCTTTATAAACATGTACATTTCTATACTGAGTAATCACCAGTGTTATCTTTAATAAGACTAATACCTATGTTCTTAAATAACATATCTCAAAGTTTATATTTACAACTTCCTAGATCATTAAAAGAAAACTTTTGAGCATGTCAGTATGCTCCATTTAAGGAAACTGCCTGATCAATGTAGATTTCCCTTACAATATTAATAAGTTGAACTTTGTCAGGTATTGGGTGCTGGATTAGGTGATACAGACCTAAGGTATATAAATGAGTTGGTATAATGCCTATTTTAATATTTAAGTTATGGTAGCTGCTGATATGAAGACCTAAATGAAGTTTATGATTAAGTAATTTGGTGGAAATTAGTTTGATATATAATACAATTATATATTTGATGGAAATATCAAATGTAAGACTGTCAAAGGTTGAAGAGCCCACCACTCACTACCTGAAACAAAAGGGTAAAACTTAATATACTGTTTACTGTATAGTAAAAGAGAGAACTATGTTATTCAGGCCTATTTCCTCCCAGAGCAGAGCACACTGTTTATCTCATACAGGATTGGGAGGAACATGGAATTCAAGGATTTGAAGACTTTCAGAAGCTTGGGTAGGTTCTACTATCAGTAGATGTATATAGTTGGTTAGGTGATACTATTGTTCATTGAATGGGCATTCAGAGCCATGTTTGTCTGACTTTCAGGAGTGAGAGACTGTCATTGTTCAGCCATGTAAAAGCATATACACTAGAGCAAGTTGTCACTGATCTAATGGACAAGTTTAAAATTGGTGTTGATAACTACTTTTTTTTTTAATTTTTTTTTTAATTTTTTTTTTATTTATTTTTTTTTTTATTTTAACTCTTAATTTTTTTATTGTTGGTCTTTCAATAACTACTTTTTAACATGGCTTTCAAACAATCTCTTCCCAGAAGGTGGGAACATTTTATTCTTTGTTCTCCCTTTTGGTCTTCATATCCCAGGACAGCAGCTCCATAGAAGCATTTCAGACTGAACAACAAACATTAAACAACTATTTTCTAATCTCTCTGGTTAGAAAAAAATTGTGACTATTTAATTATTTATAATTACTTTGATGCTATGGTATGAATGTGTCCCCTCCAGAATTCATGTTGCAATTTAATCCTCATTGGGGTGGTATTGAGAGATGGGGCCTTTGGGGAAATGGTTAAGTAATGAGGGCAGAACCCTCATGAAAAGGCTGGAGGTAATTAGCATAGTTCTCTTTTGCCTTTCTACCTTTCCCCATGTAATGACAGAGCATTGAGTTCTTACAGAGGACATCAGCAACAAGGCACCATCTTGGAAGCAGGGAATAGGATTCTTACCAGATGCCTAACCTGCCAACACCATGTTTTTGGACTTCCAAGGCTGCAGAACTGTGAGAAATAAATTTCTGGTTTTTATAAATTGGTACTCTCAGATATTTTGTTTAAATCAAGCAAAAATTAACTAAGACATTTATTTAAGGGCTTTTAACTTGTTTGCTACATCTCCAGGGCATGGGTTCTGTTATTTACTGGGTCAGCCAAAATGACTGAACATATTTTTGATGATCTCCTTAAGTTGTTGAATTCCTATTAATATCCAAAGGATTCATTACTCAAAAAGAGATCTGTTTCTTTGGATTCTTTATCTTATCTTTTATATATCTTAAGGAGATAGAATCAGTTGAGGCTATTGGGGAGAAATGGTCTTGAAACAGTCTAGCCAAAAGTCCAATAGAAAAATTAGCCTTGGTCCTGACTATTGATACTGAAAGCCTTGATCCTGAATTTCATAAAGGAAAAAAGATCCCATTTACCACACAAGAGAGATGATCACTGTAAATGGATTGTAAACACATTGCTATGATTATTGTCATTATGGACATATATATATATGCCAACAATATATATATATCCTCATCCAGAACAAGGACATTTTTCCTCATTTATTGTCATCAAAGAGTATCATTATTGATAAACTTACTGTAACATCCTTTGGTTAATTTTTTTAGATTGGCTTGGGAGAAAGAAGTTATAGTAGATTGATGATAATTACTAGTGAAACTTATAGTTGTTATTAGTAAGGGAGACATGAGAACTAAATCTCAGAACTATATAACCCTAAATCACTAAGGAGCAGAGTAAAAGAGTATGACCAGAAGAATATGTGAAAGAGAGTATGATGAGGATATGTAAGAGAATAGGACAAAAGAATCCTGTTCTGACTGTCTCAGGCACCTGCTTGTTCTAAGGATCTTAGGTTAGCTGTCACATGCTATAGATCATCTGCTTCTGGAAGTTTTTTGGAGAACTTTGAGTTCTCTAGTACATATAACTTTCTAATTCTATTATGACCTTTTCTGTTTTTCTGGAGGATTGAGAGTAATGTGGACAATGGGATCCCAATTAAAGGGCAAAGTTTAGATAATTCAAATAATGAATAACAGTTCTAACTTAATGTGTCCCTTCCTATATCATTAGATAGAGCATCTTTGGCAGGAAGCACAAAATCCAAGCATTTTTTCTCCATTGTTAATTCTTCGGCTTCTTGACAGACAAATGCTCTGTCCATCCAGAGAAAACAAATGCCATTATTAATATGTATTTGTAACACTTAGAATGAAGCAATAAAGATTTTAAGTAAGTATCTATTTGAAGTTTTACCCTTATTAATATGTATTTGTAACACTTAGAATGAAGCAATAAAGATTTTAAGTAAGTATCTATTTGAAGTTTTAACTAGTTTTAAACTAGTTTTACTAGATCTTTTTTTTAAATAGGAATCTTTTTAAATTTTATTTTATTTAGTTGTTGATGGACCTTTGTTTTATGCAGTGCTGAGACTTGAACCCTGTGTCTCACACATGCTAGGCAAGTACTCTGCCACTGAGCCCAAACCCAGCCCGGTTTTACTAGATCTTATCCTCAAGGATCTCCTAAAATTTGGCAGTGGGAGAAAGATTTAGTGGGTTTAAGAAAGATTTCTGGAACCTCTCCATAGATATTTTTATTTTGTTGTTGATGTCCTATAAACTGTCTTTGAATAAGGACTTCAGTTAGAGTAGCCTACGCAGAGTGATCCCTGAGAGTAGGTGAATAAATGAGGTGAATACTACAATTGCCCTGGTGGCACATCAAGGAGAAGTTAAGGTGGAGCCTAGCAGGTCCCTTGAGCTAAAGAGCTATAGCTGAGAGTCCAAAGTCAAAGACAGCTGAGATTCTAGTACAGAGTACCAGAAAGCAGAAAATTGCACAGAGGGAATATTTCAGACATCTATAGGGGCTGAGTACTGGTTATCATATGCATGTGGGAAAACTACCCAAAGCTGGAGAAAGAACCTTCCAAAAGAGGTAGAAGTAACAGTACCTGGCACATAAAAGTAGTGCCAGTTCCCACTAGCCAGAATTAGAAACCTCATGATTTTCTGGGCATTCAGTAGAGTATACAAAAGGATCCATCTTATCTCCTTAGTAGAGAATATTTAGACCTATATGATTACCATTGTAGTCCTACCTATCAAATCTTAAAAGTAAGACCCAATGATCTGTTTCCAAATGACTGTGTTCCCAGAATAAAGCTTTAAGAATATTTGTAGGAATACAAAAATATATGGTACCCAGTAAGGTAAAATCAGAGTGCCTGGAATTCATCCATAATTATCAGGCATTCAAAGAAACAGGAAAACATGACTCCTAATGAGATGTCAATCAGAATTGACTCAGAACCAACAGATATTAGAATTGGCAGACAAGGATGTTAAAAAATTATAACTGTATATGTTCAAAAAGTTAGTATACTAGTAGATGGTAATATGAGAATGATGACAATTCATAATTATGTAATTAACTAGTAGAGAAATGTTGGATAGTTTCCTTTCACAACAGAGATTTGCCACACACAGTAACATAAGATTTAAAGGTAATTCTATAGGTGTTTTGACTAATTTCTGAGAATACTGATGATTAGATACAAACTAAGCCATGGCTATAAGTTAAGGGTAAAAAAATAGTTCTATGTGTGTTGTTTTGTTAACATCCCTAGAGCAAGTAGGTAGCTTTAAAAAAAAAGGAAATCATTTCCTTTCATCTGGAAAACCAAACATAGAAAAGAATCAACACTTTAAAGAAAAATGCAGAAAAACCCATCTATAATTCTTCATCAGTTCATTCATTCATGTTTGTACAAAAAGAGATTTATAAAAATCTAGGAAGATGCATGTGGTAAAGGTTTTCTCCCAATATGTAGGCTCTCTCCCCACATTATTGATTGTTTCCTTTGCTGAGAAGAAGCTTTTTAATTTGAATTCATCCAATTTATTGATCCTTGATTTTACTTCTTGTGCTTAAGGGATCTTGTTAAGGAAGTCAGATCCTAGGCTGACATGATGAAGATTGGGGTCTCTGTTCTAATGCCTAAGTCTTTGGTGCACTTTGAGTTGATTTTTGTGCAGGATAAAAGACAGGTTTAATTTCATTTTGCTACATATGGATTTCTAGTTTTGCCAGCACCATTTGTTGAATAGGCTATCTTTTCTCCAGTGAATGTTTTTGTCAACTTTGTCTAGTATGAAATAACTGTATTTATGTGGGCACCTCCAATAAAGCATTAATCTTTAAGAACTCAAAAATTTAACACCAAAAATAACAAATAACCCAGTCAATAAATGGGCCAAGGACCTGAAGGGACACTTCACAGAAGAAGAAATACAATCAATCAACAAATATATGAAAAAATGTTCAACATCTCCAGCAATTAGAGAAATGCAAATCAAAATTACACTGAGTTCATCTCACTCCAGTCAGAATGGCAATCAACAAGAATACAAGCAACAATAAATGTTGGTGAGGATGTGGTGAAAAAGGTACACTTATACATTGCTGGTGGGATGGCAAATTGGTACAACCACTCTGGAAAGCAGTATGGAGATTCCTCAGAAAACTTGGAATGGAACCACCATTTAAACCCAGGTGTCCCACTCCTGGGTTTATACCCACAGCATACTACAGTGATGCAGCTATTCAATGTTTATAGCAGTTCAATTCACAGTGACTAAACTATGGAACAAACCTGGGTGCCCTTCAATAGAAGAATGAATAAAGAAAATGTGGTATATATATATTTAATGGTCTATTTCTCAGCTTTAAAGAAGAATGAAATTATGCCATTTGCCAGTAAATAGACATGGAGTTGGAGAATATCATGCTAAGTGAAATAAGCCATTCTCACAAAACTTAAGGCCAAATGTTTCCTCTAATATGTGGATGCTAATTTACAATGGGGAGGGGATGGGCACTAGATTAGGTAGAGGGAAGTGAAGGGAGGGAGAGAAGGGAATGTGGGGATAGAAAGGATAGAATGAAATAGACATTATTGCTTTATATATGTGACTGCATGACCAATGTGATTCTACAACATGTACACCTAGAAAAATTAGAAATTATTCCATCTATATATGATCCATCACAGTACATAAATGCAGTCTACTGTCATGTATAACTAATTAAAACAAAAAATGTTTTAAAATCTAGGGAGAATCAATGAAGAAATCTAATTGACTTTACTCACAGGCTTAATCTGTGAACTCTCTTTCTTTGGAGGATTCTGGATACCACAGCTTTTCTCAGGTAATTTCCTCATTATTTACTGAGAGTAGGATAGATTTTATAATATCATATCATCTATAATGTCATATTATTTTATAATATCATAACATGTAAGGGCTGTAGGGTATATTATCTGAAACTAGATCCTACCTCTGAAATGTATAGGTGTCACAGAAAATGAAGGAGTATTGTTCCAATAGTGATCCCAAAGTATCAAATACACTTTAGTCAGAGAATAATAAACATTGTATTTGCTGCTGCTGCTTTTTTTTTTTTTTTTTTTTTAAGTATCAGCTACGGTTTGGGACTTAGAAAAGGACTTTACTATAGTTTGAGTGTAGAATGTCCCCAGAAGGCTTGGTCCTCACCTTGGCATTATTAGGAGAGGTAGAACCTTTAAGAGGCATAGCCTAGTGGAAGGAACTTAGGTCACTGGAGCATTCCCTTGAAGGAGATAATGGAACCCTCTCCCACACCCTTGCTTCCCAGCCTCCTTGATATGAGCAGCTTTTCTTCTATGTGCTCCCTGCTATGATGTCTTGTTGTTCCATAGGTCCATAAACAATGGAACCAAGTGACCATTGTCTGAAACCTGAAATTGTAAGTTTAAATGAACCTTTCCTCCTTTTAAGTTGATTATCTCAGGTATTTTATCATAACAACTAAAAACTGACTGATGTAGATTTAAGTTTATTATGAATACTCATTTTTGGTAAACCAAAAGCAAGTAATGTTCATTTCCCCTCAAACTTCTATTATGACTGTGCATTCTAAAGTTCATCTTTATTATCTTCTTTCTTCATCTATCATAAACAGTTACAAGACAAAATCTCCATCTCATCATATGGGTCAATTTGCCTTTTAGACAACTTTAAATTTTGCTCTGAAGAATGTGATATTCCATAAC